CAACAGGTTTCAACTCTTCCACGATCGAAGTCCTTGAAATTGCCAAGTACTGCGGATCAATTTTAAGGTTGGGACCTTGGTTCCCTGCCAGGGATGTCCCACCTCCCTGCGTCCTGTATTTTGCACCCTCGTCCTCATTAGTCCCTCTAATCTCCAAGAAGCACGTGGACCCATAGCATCTCTGCACTGAGTTGAGAGTGAAAAAAAAAAAAAATACTGATGACAAAACGACACGAAAAGGCTGAATTTCTGGGACTTTATGGGCTTGAATCGCCCTGGCCCACAGTAGATTCTGCGATCTTCAACCTGACGGTGTCCCAGGATGGTGAACAACCCCCCTACCCCCCGCCTCCCTCTACAATACACACACACACACACACACACACACACACACACACACACAGCTGCCTAGACTGTGTAGGCTGAACGGTACCCAAAGGCTAACAGACAAGTGGGGAAGGCGAGGGTCCGGAGTAGGCAAATTCAACTTCAAGGTCAGAGAACCTCTCTTTTAAGGGTTGCAGAAGTGCAAAGAGTGCCCGGATTTGTCGCGTAGGACGCGGCGGGGGAGAACTCGGAGACCACTCCTAGGCACTTTCCTCCCGAGGAGGTACGGTTGCGTCTCCGAGGTCCAGGACAGACCTGATCTTCCAGGCAGCACTGCTCCAAGACCCAGGAAATGCAATCGGGAGAGGGTGCCATGGCTTTCAGGGCATTTGTGTTTCCATATCATTTCACCAGCGAATCTTCCTGTCATTTTGCCACACTTTGCTTCTACTTTTCAGAATGTTCTCCAGTAGACACACACACACACACACACCACACTTCTCCCTTTCAGAAAACGTATACACATATACTTCCCAGCATTCCGGGGTTCTCCTAACTCCTTAAATCTGGATAAGTAATAAGTTGTTAATTAGACCTATAAAACAACAAAAGGGAAATCTTGGTTTTACTCATTAGAAGTAGTTTAGATTGTGTTCCGTTCTTTTTTGTTTGTTTGTTTGTTTTAGGCTCCCATGTCAAATTTCAGAAGAAAATACTAATAAAAATGTCATTAGGAAATTTAAGTATGCCCTAAGAAATTAGTTTGGTCTGAAACTCCATGCTATAATTTCTCTGCGGTGCTGCTTCCTGAATATTTTAGAATCCTTTCAAAGGCTTAGGTATTTTCCCCTCTGCTGTAACAAAATTGTATTCATCTTTGCACAACATGTTCTCCCGTCTTAAATCTGATACCCAGCACTCGGCAGAGAATGTTCCCTGTCTTTATGTGTGGTGGTCAACCGGCCTCGTTGAGCCAATCAGCCAAGCACTCGGACACTGTGCTGGGTGCTCCTGCTCCACACCTGTGGGCCCCTTGGGTCCGCACACGGGTCTCAACTGCCCTCACCCTGCTGCTGGCAATGGAGAAAGTCCTGTGCGTTCACTGTCCCTCAGCTGCCTGGGTAACTCACAGTGACCTTTTCTGAAACTGCACAGAGTCAAGTATTTCACTTTCAAGGCTTCTTCTCAGGGGTCATTTGTGGGTCAGGAGTTTGGCCGCTGCAGGCTACTTTCCCACACTTTCTTCTCAAGCAAGAAAGTGTTTTTATTAGCTTCCCTTCTGCTGCCTTCCTTAACTTGCTAGTTACATCAGGAGCCTGGTCCTTTCCCCACTTCTTGTCGAAACAAAGTTCAACAGATTTCGCTAGCTGCTGCGGCCAGAGGGCCCGAAGGGAGCTGCTGACGTCAGTCCTTGGCTGGACCGAAACCAGGCGGCAAGATTCCACTCAAGTGAGCAGGAAGAGCCTAGGCCGTGACTTAGGACTGCCGACGATTAAACAGGTAACGAGACACCAGGCAGATGTGTTTTCATTGCCCTGTAAGATAAATGCAGTGTTAAGTGTCTGACAACTTCCCAGAAGCAATCAGCAAAAGTTTACGAGTGCATAAACCTCAAAGACCATTCCCCGACGGTTGTTATAAGGCCCACTTTTAGAGCTTCAATAAATTCTTCGGCAGTTTCCCAAAGCTAAGTTTCCAATAACTATTAAGCAGCCACCTCCTCCGAGGAGACCGGGGGGATTTTCTCGAGCTGCCAAAGGAAAAGATTTTTGACGTCTATTGAGTGAAATGAAGTTGCGCAAAAGTTTGTTCTGGAAGTTTGGGTGGACAGAAGGTCGCGTAGGTAGGGTCGAGGAAGGCCACAAAGTACACTCCAGTGCTGAGTTTTCTGACAGTGGCCAAGGGCAGGGGAAGATCCCGGCTCTAGCGCGGGCAGGTGGCACATTTGCCTCTTTGGGCAGTCGGCCCTGATGCGCCACTCCAACTCCGTTGGGCGCAGCACTGTACGGCGCGGGTAGCTATGCCCGACTCCCCACCAGCCCGGGCATGATAGGGTCTTCGCTCTTCTAGTGCCTACGGAAGAGCCGGCAGGATTCCGGGTGTCCCATCAAAGTGCCAGAACCCTGCGAAGGCAGGTTTTATGGAGAACTGAGCCGGACATCTAGGGACTGTCACCACGACGGGCCCAGCCTCGATCCTCCGATGAGTGGTCAGAGGACTCTGCTAAGTTCGGATTAAGGCACACATGCTTATAGAGAACCTTTGTTTATGATGCCAGTGAAAACAAAGCTGCTAATTGAAAAACAAAACAAAACAAAACAAAACACAAAAAAACCAGTAACAGGCGCTTGTCTCTAGCTTCCTAAACAGAGAGGTTAACCGCGGCGAGCCCTGGGGAAGGGCACGTGGGAGTGAAACGGCGAGCCAGGGGCCGCCCCGGCACGTGAACTGCGTTGGGGTCCGCAGAGATGGGTGCGCCGGTTCAAACCTTCCAGAACACCCCGCCTGGGTCCCAGGGTACAAAGCCTCCCGCAGCCCCCCGACCTCACCCCGCTCTTTTTCATTCTTTGGGTTCCAGTAAATCAGATGGTGCTAAGGTAACCCAAGACTGCGTAGTATTTCCGTCCCGGGGAGACTGAGCTTCAAGCAATTATTTTGGAAAGATACCGCTGGGCCCCTTTTCATCCTTTCCAGGTGAAAATGCGGACGCTTCTGTGTCGTCCTCACGCTTCCTTTATGAAATAAGGCGCCCAACTGTTCTGATATTACCATTCAAAAACAGGTTCTGTGGCGAACCTCATTTGTGAATCTATTACAGAGATTAATAGATTATTTCTCCTTTTTCAACTAATTCTCAGTGGGGAAATTTAACCATATGGTAAGGAGAGAATTAGAATTTCATCACATTAGAGCAAAATGTAATGAAAAGAGTCCAACACCTGGGGCCAACTCTGAAAGCCACAATTAAAAGGTTTTTAATGAAACTAGAGAAACCAAAAATTTCACAGGCTTCAGTATTTTTGCCACATAAGAAAGATTTATTAGGAAATATTGTTTTTACTTATGTCATAAGGATGAAAACCAGCCACTAAATCCCATGTGCTCGCAGACATTGAACTCAGGAGCGAGAGGACAGCGTGTGCCGCTTCCCCTCCGAAGAGGAGCAGTTGTTTTCACAGTTGTCCCTTTCCTAGCCCGTCAGGAACCACCGAGGCAGATCCAGATGTCCCCGAATGGCTTCCTAGCTGTGGCGGTTACGTTTCCGGTAAATAAACATACACAAATACCCCACTTGGTGCGTGAGAAGGCTTGACTCTTGGTGAAGTTGTCTCTTCTAAAACCACAGGGTTTTAATCTTGAGGAAAGTTTGAGAAATCAGTTTCTTCCTGTTTAGGAAACCGTGTACCCCGTAATGATCACTGCAGCCGATATTTGGAGAGCTTTGCAAAAGCACCCCCCCCTTCCTTTGAAAATCGAATGGACTGCATAATCAATTTGTTTTTCATTTTGCTTTTTTTCCCCAATCAGGATAAAAAATTGAGTATTGGGGGGTGGGAGGGTTGGGGGGGTGCATGTGTTCTAAAGGGAAGACAGCTTTGCTCTCTTCCTAGCTGGAAGTCTTGTGTGAATTTCGGGCACTCCAGCGAGGACATCACCCCCCACGTCCGCCCACCCCCCATCCCGGAAAAGTCCCATCGCCAAATCCAGACCAAAGCCTTCCACGAACAGGGGTGGAGTATAATTCTCTTCCGGAAGGGTAATTTAACACAAGATGAGACAGCAGAGGCGAGGGAAGGGCAGTGGGGGTGGGGTGCAGTGGGTGGGGGCGTCTGCTTTGCACAGGACTCCCAGGCTTCGCCGCCGATCTACAATTTGCTGAAGGAGCAAAGAACATCCTCGGCTCTAAGTAGGGCTTTTAGTGTGCTCATTGATGAGTGAAAGTCGCCACACATGTCAAGCTAAAGGCAGTTGTTGGGTTACTAACAGGACCCAGCGCCTTGCAAACATATGCGCTAAGCTGTGTATACAGATGGCAGGCAGAATAATGGAGCAGGCGCCTTTTATAAAGCTCTAGCTGCTGCCTGTCTTCAGACCTGGGAAATGAAACTATTCAGACTCACGGCCAGATAGCGCCCGCGATTGTTTGTTACCGTTTTAATCCTATTAATTAAAACGTTAACCTGATTGGGTAGAAAGCTCTGTCCCAACAGGCGAGTCTTCTTCATAATAACCTACTCAGAGATAATGATGTAAAAGACTCCCCCGTCTGTGGCGGCGGCTGGTTGATGGGTCCGGAAATCTCTTGAAGGTGAATCCAAGCAAGATAAACGGTGCGGAGAGGAGGCGCGGGGTTGGGCTCAGAGCAGCGGCGGCGTCGGCGGCGGCTCCACTCCCTGCGCGCCCACCCTCCCACCATGCGGGGCCGCGGCCCATGGTGAGCCCCAGCAGCCGGCACCATCGGCTGGAGACGAAGAAGACGAAGAAGAGGAGGCGGCGAGCGCGGGGGAAGGCGAAAAAGAAAAAGAAGGCGAGAGAGCTGCCAGCGACTGCGGGACCGACGCGCGCTCCAGCCCCGGACCCCGACTCGCGCGCGTCTGCGGCGCCGCCTGACTCCCCAGCGGAGGCGCCGGGGGCCGGCGCGGCGGGCCGGGGCTGCGAGCCGGCGCCGGACCATGGAGCGCGGGCTGCACCTCGGCGCGGCCGCCGCGGGCGAAGACGACCTTTTCCTGCACAAGAGTCTGAGCGCCTCCACCGCCAAGCGCTTGGAGGCGGCTTTCCGCTCCACGCCCCCGGGCATGGACCTGTCCCTGGCGCCGCCGCCTCGGGAGCGCCCGGCGTCCACCTCCTCGTCGCCCCTGGGCTGCTTCGAGCCGGCTGACCCCGAGGGGGCAGGGCTGCTGCTGCCGCCGCCGGGGGGAGGCGGCGCGGGAGGTGGCGCTGGAGGTGGCGGCGGCGGGGTGGGCGTCCCGGGGCTGCTCGTGGGCTCTGCGGGCGTTGGGGGGACCCCAGCCTGAGCAGCCTGCCGGCCGGGGCGGCCCTGTGCCTCAAGTACGGCGAGAGCGCGGGCCGGGGCTCGGTCGCGGAGAGCAGCGGCGGCGAGCAGAGCCCCGACGACGACAGCGACGGCCGCTGCGAGCTGGTGCTGCGGGCCGCCGGCGCCGACCCGCGGGCCTCTCCAGGCGCGGGAGGCGGCGGCGCCAAGGCGGCGGAGGGCTGCTCCAACGCCCACCTCCACGGCGGCGCCAGCGCCCCCCGGGGGGCCCGGGCAGCGGCGGCGGGGCCAGCGCGGGCGGCGGCGCAGCAGCAGCAGCAGCAGCAGCAAAAATCCAAAGAGCAAAAGGCGCTGCGGCTCAACATCAACGCGCGGGAGCGCCGGCGGATGCACGACCTGAACGATGCGCTGGACGAGCTGCGCGCCGTGATCCCCTACGCGCACAGCCCCTCGGTGCGGAAGCTCTCCAAGATCGCCACGCTGCTGCTCGCCAAGAACTACATCCTCATGCAGGCGCAGGCCCTGGAGGAGATGAGGCGCCTGGTCGCCTACCTCAACCAGGGCCAGGCCATCTCGGCCGCCTCGCTGCCCAGCTCGGCGGCCGCCGCGGCGGCCGCGGCTGCCCTGCACCCCGCGCTCGGCGCCTACGAGCAGGCTGCCGGCTACCCGTTCAGCGCCGGGCTGCCGCCCGCCGCCTCCTGCCCGGAGAAGTGCGCCCTGTTCAACAGCGTCTCCTCCAGCCTCTGCAAACAGTGCACGGAGAAGCCTTAAAAACACCCCCGAAAAACACAAGACCAGCCCCAAAGCTAGAGGAAAGTGAGAAGCTGCCCCCACCCCGTTTGTTTGGGTCCTCTCGTAGTTGTTGAAACACTTGCAGAGCAAACAAAGCAGAGGAGGAGCGTTAGAGACAAACGGGACGTTTAGCGTTGACATCCCCAGAATCTTGGTTTTGGGAGTGGGGAGGGAGGGAGGAGGGAGGTGAAGTTGGGGTGGCGTATGGACGTCTTTATTTTATTTTATTTTTTTTCCTCAGAAAGGTGGCCACTTCGCTGGCAGCCTGGACCTAAAGGAATCAGTTTTCCTTCAAGGTTAAAAATAAGTTGAGAAGTAGTCGCTTGGTTATTAAGCGTGGAAAGTATTAAATGGCAAAATACTAATCCTACTAATAATTGTGAATTTGGCTAGTTACTGAAGGGGAGAGGAGGAGTCGGGGGTTGGGTGGCTGGTGGGACGGAGTATTCATTTAGACAAATCAGAAAGGGCACTTGAAAATAAATTTTGATTCTGAGCCAGGAGAAAAACTTGAAATGTAGACTTATTTAAGTGAGGGAAAAAAACAAAACAAAGAGACAAGTTGCAATGAAAGACTTGTATTTTTTATTGTCTCTGAACTTTAATCCTGTGAAAATGCTCAAAAGTTTTGGCAAGAGTGATATTAAAAAAAAAAAAAAAACTGACTGTGGCTGAAAGAATTGCATTTAAAAATATTTATGTGCACCTTGTTACTTTCCACTCTGCAATGATGTATTAACAATTCATGGTATTTATTTGTTATTCTTCAATGAGCCTTCCACATCAACAGTATTGATCATGTGTTAAGGTCATGGGTCTTCTGTGCAGATTTTTTTTTTAATGCCTCTAAAATTCTGTTTTATAAATTAACTTATACTGTGTGCCAAGTGTTTAAAAGGTTTATTTGCCAACAAGTATGAAGAGACATATTGATGTACCTGAGCTGCTTAGGTTTATAAAAAGGTCACCTGGATATTTTCAGTTGCATCATCCCTGTATTTAAATTGAGCTTTAATAAATTGCTTCAGTCCAAAAATTACAGGAAAGGTGTATTCTTAATTGATGAATGGATTGATCTCTTTTTGGAAAGGGGACTCCTTTGCATTCTGAAAGGGATAGACATCACAGCAATAGGCCCTATAAGTAAGAACATGCTAAGCAAATATTTTTCCCTGCTGTGCATTTTTAAAAGGTCTAATTTAATTGCTTTTAATATATGTATATATAAGTTATTTTAACTGTGGAGAATTATTTAAGTTAAAAGACTGGTTTGATTTGTCTATGGTGTGAAATCCTTTGTTATTTTTCTAAAAAAATAAAATTAAAATTTAAAAAGAGTAGAATGAAACTAAGGAAGAGCAAGAAGCTATTTACCCAAAGTGAAATTTCAGTTTTAGTTTGCATGGCTGTTTGCCTGCCTTTCTATCCTATGAAAATCAAGAAAACCTTTTTTAAAAAAATGGAGTCCTGTTATTTTCCACTCTTTGCAGATAATACAAATTCAGTTTGTCAGGTTGGATGGTGAGTTGGGAGCTGTGATGGATCTACTGGCGGGTTTTGGATGTGTAAAGAATGATATATATATTAAATAGGTCAATCAGACTATGACAGCTATGTACGACCATTTGTATGTGTATCTATGTCAGAAAGAATCTTTATTAAAATATTTTGATCAAACATTTTATTATGCTGTGCTTTGTGGAAGGAGCAATCACCTCTCTTCTGAGTTACTCTTTGACTGAAAGGTAACAAAAAGGAAAGGATTTTCAGAGAAGGTGGAACTGAAGTTTTGGCAGGTATACATAATTAGGAGTAGCCCTAGTTCAATTGTTTACTATCAGAAGGACAAGGTCATTTGGAAGAGAGACAAATGGAGTCATTGGTGAGACCCAGTGGAGGTTCAGAGTTCCTGCTGCTGGCATGAACTTTGAAGGCCAATCTTTCTCTGGGATTCTTTCCCCCCTTGTATGGCATTGTTAACCATGCCAGGGCCCATCAGAGGGCAAAGTTTCTTAAAGAGTTGTATCAAAATTTCCATCTCCAACTGTCTGAAAACCAAGGACAAGAGATGGATTTGGATTCTCTGAGGATAGATTTTTATTGTGACTTTCCAACTCTTTTGTGATAGAGCTATCAACCAGGTTGAATTGTAAGTGTGAACAATGCCCATAGACTTAACAGTGTTGCTTGTTAATGAGGTTTTTAGAGACTGTATTTGGATTTGGTTGGGCATCGACTCTATTATAGATTGTATAAGCTTGTATTTGGATCTTAATCATGATCTTAAATAGAAAAGGTTTGATTTCATTGTAGTAGGGGTTTTAGAGGTGGTGGTGAAGTTACAGTGTTGCCTCTGTACACAGGATGCTAGATGCATTTTTGTCTGTAAAGCCGGAGCCCCAAATGCCATCAAACTTAGTGGGGGGCGAGGGGGAATATTTTCTGCTCCACTTGCCATCAAAAAAGATTAATCAGAACCTGTAACTTTTCAGAAAACATAATAGCAAAGGGCCTTGAAGCTAGAGCCCTCCCAGCCTGGGAGTTGGGGAAGAGGGAGGGAAGAGACCAGGGTAGCCCCCAGGCAGGAGGAGACCCGTCTCTCAGCATTTACCAGACAAAGCCTGGGTGCGTCTAATTATGATTATTAAAACAATTTCCATGACGATGTCTAATATTATGTTAATTTGAAAACAACTGTGTATGAAAACTGTCGACTATAATACCTAAATTCATTTAATGAAACACATCGTTAAGGCAATTAAACCTCCTGGATGTGATTAAGAAACATAATTACGACACTGTTCTGTGCCATAATTGGGTGTCTTTAATCAAGGGGTAAAGTGATCAGCAACACAGCCATTAGTTTGTATTGTTCTGGCCCTGCTGTCCATCATTCTGATTAGGAATTAACCACAGCCACCATCAGATTTTTTTTTTCTTTTTGCATATTAACATTGTAGGGGACACATTTGCTGCAAGATTTACTGCTTAATATTTCTCATTATTAAGAAGGCCTCTTTGAAATACTTTTCCTGCAACCTCTGTACACTTCAACTATTATTAGAAATTGTACAAATTGCAAATCTTGAACTTCAGGAGAAAAAAGAAAAGCTCACTTTCCTTTCACCCTTTAATTGCTCAATCTCTAGTCTTTGTCCTAAAAGAGACTTGAAATGAATGAGGTTGGGGCAAAGGAGATCATGGTGAGAATAAGTTGAAATGTCAGACGAATATGTACAAGTATTAAGAAGTTGCAGGGTTAACTGTTTTCATTTTCATAATTTCAGAGAAAGCATCTATCTTTCCAACCCCAGGAACTGATCAACGTTTGGTTCCTGGAAAAAAACATAGTATGTCTGAAAGGAACAAGAGAGGGGTTTGGGGTGATATATTTAGATGGCCCTTCCTGCCCTTACTGTAAGCTTCCCAAAGTTCTTCTGCAGCAACTTTTGAAGAAAAAGAGAGAGAGAGAACTCTTTGGTTGGTGAGATAGTTGTTCCCCCCAGGAGGCAACCCTCCTAGGCACTTTCGTTCTGAGGTTTGAGTCCTGAATTTGGGCCCATTACAGAAAGTTGGCCCATACATGCCTGGGTCCCAGATGTCTTTCCAATATGGAGCATCACGATGGAACTGGATGGCTGAACACCACGGCATTGGTGTGGTTCTGTGAACATGTCCTGGACCAGAACAGAGAGACTGGCCGGTAACACTGCAGCTCCTGTTGGAGTACATAGGCGCACTGTCAAGCGCATGCCCTGGGGAGGATCAGGTTACTTGTGTGCTAGGCAACTCAGAGTAGGCAGATAAGGCCAACCAAGAAACCAATTAGTTCCAGAATCCAATTAGCTCTTTATTTCATCAGTTCCCTTCTTTAATTTCTCTCTAATTTCACTTTCCTTCTCTAATTTCTAATTCCTACGTAGGTTCCATCTCCACCTTGACCCTGGGCACCGCCAGGAGTGCGCGGGCATTTTGGGGACTCCTACATGACCAGAGAATGATCATCTTTAAAGAGCTCACCTAGTTACCCCCTCTCTCTTCCTCCCCTTTGTGGTAGTGGTGGTGGTGGTTTGTGTGTGTGTGGGTGTGGTGGGGGTTTTGGGTGAAGCAGGGGTAGTGGTGGTGGTGTTTGCTCTCCACATTCCCTTGCTAGGCATAGCCTCCAAGACCCCGTGTTGAACTCAAATTCTTACCTCCTATGGCAGCCATCACACCCACCACTCGTCTTTACAGCAGACAGCTTACTAGGAAGGGCAGAAAGTCACAGGCTTCCCTTCTCCACGCACTCGTGGTTTAAACGCCCGAACCGAACCCTTGTAAGCGCCCGGGACCCTGAGGTTGCTCCAGCATGAGTGGCATTGACTTTTCCAATGTAATGACTTATGAAAGATATAATCATGTGTTAAATTGAATCCTCCGTTTAACTGTTAATGGTGTGCTCTGGGCACATTTACGTATTAGATGCTATGGTAACTAATTACCACTAGGAAAAAGGATAATACACTTCCCAGACTTTGAAATATAATGATGAGAGTTCACTTCCCGGCTCGTAGCACATCGTGGCGGCTCTGCCTGGTGGAGCCACAAGAGCCAGTGGAGCCCCGAAAGTGTGCTCATGGAAGGCGGGAGCTAATGAATCCCGTCAGGAGAGGGTCCTTAGTTAAAACCTTTCTTGACGACGTGATTCAGATGAGGAAGTGGTGGTGGGGACGGGAGGGTGGGGAGCAAGGAGGGCGGCCAACTACACAAAGGTACGTCTAAACAAAATTAAATGGCAAGACATAGACAACAGATACACAAGTTCTCTTTTAATTAAAATGCAGGTCAGACTAAATTATCCGGATGCCAAGCAACTTTACATGACCGATTTGTTGTCGTGTGGGCAAAATGAACAACCCCGTCTCCTGTTTGTCCCGGCTCTGCTCTGTTTTGGCTTAGAACTCAGATGCCCCTGGATTTGCCAAGCCAATGAGCTGCAAGGGCGCAGTAGATGGAAGAGGCGAGGATACGAAGGGGAAACCTGGAGGCAGTAACTAAGTTAGAGTAAAAGCAATTAGCAAGGTAAGAGCCCTGTTCTCCCTTCCAGATCTCTGGTTCTCCTCATCTATCATTACTTGTTTACTGGAACCTGCT